TCTGGATGTGATCCTGGGCAATATGCTGTAGAGGACCCTGCTTGAGCAGGGCGGTTGGACTAGATGATCTCCAGAGGTCCCATCCAACCTAAACGATTCTGTGATTCTGTGATTCTGTGATTCTGATAGATGTTGAGTAATCTCGGTATTCTGTTTGAGAAAGCTGTCGAGTTGATGGAAGATTACTCCAAGTGTTACTGAGGTATTAAATGATGCAAAACTAAGACATTCTTTTTCAGTTCTATGAGAAGTTAACTACTAAGTCTGCTTGGTGATTTGGTCAAAAACATATGTCACATTACAATGGCAGATGCCTTTCATGCCTGTGGTACCCATTCCACTGCACTGTAAAACCATGTGCAGTTTCTCATTTCGTGTATTATTCCATATAGTTACATTTAGATTAAGTTTAGATCTTAGAGTTAGTGTAACATTATTGCCTACTATCAGTCACCAACCTCATGCTATTACAGATGGTATTCCTCCTTCACTTGTAGTTTTAAAGATGAGTTGTGACTGATCTTCATTACCTGGGTTGTTCCATGGGCAACAGGAAAAGGCAGAACCTGGTAGAAGCAGGTTTCGGGTGTCTGTTCCAGTTATCGGTGTTCCCATGGTGAGAAGATAACACCATGTTTCTCTGCAAGAGAAGACACCTAGGTCTTGGACATCATCCAAGCCTCACTTAGGGTTTACTTACTCCCTTTAGCATCTGCAGCATCCCATCCTCCTTTTCTGTGGTAAAACAGCAGAGTCACCCAGATTGTTCCCTGTCTTGGGTCTTTAACCACAACCTCATCTCCAGGACATCAAGAGGGTTTCACTTCTGCTTTAACAGGAATTAATGCAGCTACTGACACAAACCCCTTACCTATGGGACTTCCCATGATGGTTTGTCACTTGTTTAGCTGACATATGACTTCCCACAAATGGGATCTCCTCTTAGAAGTATTCTATGAGAGAAGAGTCACTCTTCTGTAGCTGTGCCTTCTGTCGTCCATTCCATCTTTCTGCTACCCCATTATTTGAGGTCAATATGGTAGGTGGAAAGTCCACTGAACTCCACTTGAAGCACATCAAGTTTGCACATCTTTACTCTTCAAATGTGATCCATTATCAGATTGTATTTCTCTGGGAAAGGGGAAAGTAGCAAGTCATGAGTTCAAACCAGCAATGCTTGCCAGACCAGTTGCAGCTCAGCTGGGGAGCACCTTCCCTCTACTGCTAATTATTTCAACTCCTGTAAGGATGTATTTCCAGCCTTCAAGTGTTTGCATGAGCCTGGAGGGTGGCCTAAAGCAAAGACCACCCTCTGATTCCCCTTGTGCTGAGTTTAATTCAGCTTTCCTTTCAACAGCTGTGGTGAGTCACAGCCTATATTCTTTCCTGAATCTTTTTCCATTGTGGGGATTTATTGGTTGGTCACAGTGCAATAAGACAGTAGAGTTAAATTTCTTGGAATATGTTGTAGGATGCCAGTTTAAAATGCACGTAGGTGCCTTTGTCAAAATAAACACCAAGAGGTCGGAGTAGAGGCCTCTAGGCTTAAATACAGTCAAGTATGAAATTCAAAGAACACAAACTCAAGAGTTTGAAAGAGTGCTTTTATCCTAAAAAAAAATTCTCAATTTTAATAGAGTGATCCCAGAGAAATTTCTGTTTGAGTTCACATGAGGTTAGCTGAACAGGCCAACATCCTCCTACTGATATTAGTGGAGAGATGCTCCAGAGCCGTAGTCATCTTTATGGCCCTTTCCTGGACTCTGTGCAGCAGGCCCATGTCTTTCTTGTACAGGAGAGCCCACATTTGGACATAGCCCTCCAGGCATGGACTCACCAATGCTGAGCAGAGGGGAAGGATCACCTCCTTTGACCTGCTGGAAACACTTCCTACTGCAGCCCAGGATACTGTTGGCCTCCTTTGCCATGAGGGTGCATTGCTGGCTGATGACCAGCTTGTCCACCAGGACCCACAGGTGCTTCTCTGGAAAGCTGCTCCTCAGCCGGTCAGTCCCCAGCCTGTTGTGGTGCATGGGGATAGTTCTTCCCATGTGCAGGACTTGGCATTTCCCTTTGCTGACCTTCATGAGGTTCCTGTCTGCCCATTTCTCAGGTCCCTCTGAGTGACGGCACAATCATGTGCTGAATCAGCCACTCCTCCCAATTTTCTGTCATCTGCCAGCTTGCCTCGGATTCCTTTGGCCCCATCATCCAGGTCATGAATCTTAAGATCTTAAACAAGGTTTGCTACATT